CCCTACAGTCAAGAGAACCTAGTCACTTTGTTCTTTTACATATTACAACTGACTCAGGCCCCTTAGAATTCTCTAGCTTCTCTCAGTCCCTCCCCCACTCCAGGTACAGCGCTTTCCTGCCAAATGAGGACAAGGAACTATCGTTTGGTTGTCATCTTTCCCAAAGGCCACACAGAGCATCCCAAAGAAGCTGGATTCAAGTTCTTCCCAAATGTTCAGCAGCCCTCATCTTGATAGGAACTGCAGATAAAGGCAAGGAATCCACCCTCGTTAATGCCATAAAAAATGGCCAACAATGGTGGCATTTAACAACAACCAAAAATAGCATTTCCTGTTCATAGAGTCCTGATGGATAAATTCCTAGTGTTTTTATAGCTTATATCTTCAGAAGAGAATTGGCAGGTCCTCAGTCTTCAAGGGTCTACACTATTAAAATGACACGACCACATGTCTGTTTTGAACTGTTCTCTAATAAATGTGGAAATGTAAGCAAAATATTCTCATGTAGACAAAGGGCATGCCTCAGAAAATAGCAAGCCTTGCTACTGAGTAATCAAAGTGATCAATTTGTTGGAAAAAATACTCTTTGAAGTCACGTTTAAATCTTGGCACTGCGAACACTGGGACTTTTTTCCTCCACAGCATTGCCAACTTAAAACTCAAGCACAGTTTGCATTTCAGATGCTTCCATGCCTCTCACCAGCTGAATTCGCCCTGTCTAAGGTACAAAGCGTTTGCTCAGTGTAGCTTCCTGTGCTCAGCTCCCACAGTGGCCAGACTTGCAACCCCCTTCCACTGATTTTTTTTTCTTTTTTTTTTTTCTTGAACGTATTCCTATTCTCAGAGTCCATCTGTTAAGTCTTTTCATCAGTGGCAAATTTGGGACCCCATGCCATGCAAAATTCCACAAAGGAACCTCTTCGTCCAAAGAGGAGACTCTTTCCTCTCTGTAAAAGAGAATGGTTTGGATGCAATCCCAATCCCTGGAGAGAAAAATGGAGGAAGCAGGAAGAGACAGCCCTCCTTTGGGACCTGACTTGGTTCCTTCTGTCTTTTCTGTAAGAGAGACCAGAAGGCCACAAGTAATTCGACATCAGTGAACAACTGAGCAACCACATGTGGGTGTTTTGTGAAAGTTTAAAGGGTTGATTTGAAGCAGGGAGTATACTTAAATTCAGGATGTGTAGAATCATGGCATTGCCTGAGACGATTCCAGGAAAGCAGTCACAGAACCAGCAGACTTTTCACCCCTTTCCTAGCAACTTCACGGTTGCTGCCTTTGTACCCCTTCCATTTCAAGCGTCCAGGCCTGTCCGGGCTTGGGAGTGCCATGGCTCTGTTTTTGCTACTACTGCGAAAGCAAAGGCATCTTCCGTCACCTTTGCCTCCTATAGAAGAGAGACCAGTTCTCATGTTTTCCCCCAGCTCAATAGCTCAGGGCTTTGCTAATCTTGCTGAACACTTCAGTTTTTAGATGGTATATCAATGAGGCATTCAAACAGAGCAGTTTATACACAAAAATTCTGTCTGCTTTGTAAAAGATTATCCTTTTATAAACACTCTGCAGAAAACATAAAAGCAAATAGGGGACAGCACATAGAACAGGAAAGATGTTAGCAGGGAGATTAATACTGAATGGGTCAAAATGAATGGCGCTTACTAAAACGAGGTCCAGATACTTTGGCTGCACTGAAACATAAATAATGGGAATGACACATCGTTTATTCGGGATAATGAGTTGATCCAAAGTAGAGGCCTAGGACAAGAGATTAAAGATTAAATATCCATCTCTTGATGAATATCAGTAGCCAACTTTAACCTTTTCCTTCCACAAGTAATTTTACTTAAACAATTATAAGTGCTTATGCTACAGTGTAGAAATTCGATTCTTAGAGAACCACAAAAGCCACTTGGACCACTTTCTTATTCTGGTGGAAAACATTGTTTCACATTTTAAGGTAGGATACAGAATTTTATATTTGGGCAATCGGCCTCGGGATACTGATTTTAAAATATAGATTTTCCCCTCATTCTGCACCAGAGAAATCTAGGTTAGGAACTCTTCTCATACCTTGTTCATTCATTGAACAATAAAGTTTTTCAAAAGAAGAAGAGTGGCCCTGGAATAACCCAGTATGGATTTCATATAAGCAGTGGGGTCAAGAGAATGGCAAAATGGGCAAAAATTAGAAATCTTCTTGTCCAAATGTCTCATCCAAGGGCTAAAGAAACAGGCTCACCACCAGAGTCTCACTGCTGGTTAGAAGCAGAGCAGGGTCTAGTATCTGGGGCGTTCTTGCTTCAGGCCCGACTCTTTCCACTGTACCCTGCTGTCTCTTTATTCCTTCAAGTTGGAAATAATGACCAAAGTGGCTTACTGGAAGACTCAGCACCCTGTGTGCTAAATTAAATCCCTGAATTCATTAAAAGAAAAAAAAAAAAAACTTAAGACTATTAGAAGATATGAATAAATAAGATTAGAAACAAACAAACCAAAAAAAAAAAAAAAAAGGGTGCAGGGAGGAGTTGTAGCAGCAGAAAAAAGTAGCCACAGATATCCAAAAGGCCAGACCCCAGGCTGCCCACTTGGGCACAGTTTTGGAGCAGTCTTTTGGTGGCCCTTCCCTTTCCAGGGGCAAGAGGGAATTTTGTAATTTGACCATTTCTTGGAACCAAATTGCTTCCCACTGTTCACAAGCCAAGACCACGCAAGTGGTTTTGTGGTTGGTAGACACCAGTGGAGTGGGAGAGCAACAAGCTTCGAATGTGGCATTAAAACAAAACAAAACAAAAACAAAACTCAAGCCACCCACCAAGCAGGAGACCATCACAGGTTAATCCCACAGTCGCTCACCTACAGAGAACAAGGTCAGAATTTGGCCGACGTCCCATGTGATATCAACTTGGTGGTTTCAGTCTATGCTCCAGGGAACATTTGTCTCAGTGCCAAACCAAAAAGCATGCAGGGTTGGCAGACTGTCCTCCGGAGGCCAGAGATGAGGAGCTATGGAAGTGTATCCATTTTCACTTTGCAAGTATTTGCATGCCAATGTCCCCTCAGCCATTGCTGCTCTTTGGAGAAAGAGGGGAATTAATACTTGAGAGCAAAGCGGAGTGTAGACATCTTATCCCACATTAGGGGTGGGAGACAGCAATTCCATTGCCTCCACACCTCCCCTTGGTTGACTACTGTGAAGTTTTTCATTCTCCCAGAGGTGAAAATAATTGCACCACTTTCTCCATAAGAAAGGTATTCCTAAGCCCACCCACTAGAACTTCCTAACAGGAAATTTTTGTTGTTGTTGTTGATTTGTTTTGTTATGTTTTATTTTTATGATTACCATGTGTTTCACAAGTTTCTACTTAGCTGGGATAATCAAGAGCAAAATCAATACTCACATGTAACTGTCATTTTGGAAAAGGAAGAATGTGTTAAACAGAAAGCTTGAAAGAAGGATTCTGAAAGGGAGGCCATCTTTTTTTTAAAAAAAAAAAAACCATGTAGCATGCTCAGCACTGAGGACCTGGAAAAGAACACCAGCCTTCCTAAATTAAAGAATACCCAAAGGGGTTGGCAGGTAGCATGGTGATTAAGGGTGCTAGATTTCTACATGGCCCACCACGGTTCGAGTCCAGGACCTGGTGGCTTGCGTTCTCACTTTCTCTCGCTCTCTCCCTCTCTGGTCAAATTCAAATAAATAAATAAAGTTAAATAAAATAATTTAAAAGGAAGGATACCCAAAGGGAGGTCCACTAGTAAACAGACATATTTTCATGTTTTTACCAAGGGATATGAAGTAATCTGGCACAGATAATTATGAAAAGGAGAAGAAAGAAGTTATGGGGCGGGAAAGGGTGGTAAGAGAGGAAGGTAGTAGAACTTCCCAAAAGAGGCATCGTGTTTTTATTGAATCTTTTCCTGATGTCTAGCTCCAGTTGCAGTGATTGCCATCAACAACCAAATGATACGGCACAATGCTGGAGATGATAAAGTCAGGAGGATGAGGCTTTGCAGACCTTGGATCCATCTGTAAAGAAAAACAAAGGGAAACATCCCAAGTACTTAAAAGGGCAAGACTACACCTTATGGGAGTTACCAAGAGTCCCTTGTGAATGGCTCATCTTAGTAAAGCTGACCATGAAAAACCTGCAGGCCTACAAAGTGAGATCATTGCACCTTAGCCTCCCAAGAGACAATTTAGCAATTAGTGTAAAAGCAAACATAGTTTACCTCAAATTAATCCCTGGTGGCCTAGTAGTGAGTTGTGCTTGGGAATTTCTCTCAAATTGGCATTTGAAAATGTCAATCTACTTTACAGATGCTTTATAGAAACTCCCTAAATTGGTTCTTTTCCTCAGATTATCAGAGTCTCAGCAAATTATGTGGCCATGCTTATGGCTGCCAAATGACACACCTATGCTGTTATAAGACCAGGTTTGTACCCTGGGTCAAGCTACTGATAACCATGGGGATGTTAATAGGCCAAATTTCTATATTTCTCCAAATATTGGGTCATAAAAAAAGTCATGACACCTTTTTTTGCATAAAAAAACACAGAAAGGTATGTCATAACTTTCCTGAAGACCCAATACATTCACTGCCAAAAAAAAAAAAAAGTCAAAGTATTTCATAGATAAGTGGAAACAGTAAGAAATCAAATACTCTCTTTTAGAGCAAAAACAAGTAGCGAGTTCTAGAGGCCTGGCTTCAAACATGTTTTCATAATTCTGGGCCTGACTTTAATCAGTTTCTACTTAAGACTGAAGTTAATATTTTTTGTTTGTTTTTACCAACCTACAAATGGACCTTAGAGAATGCTCTATAGACCTTCTCTTGTAATTCTAGGGTGTAGTTCTATCTATATTTGTGTGAGGCCAGCAAAGTTTGTTCTCCACAAACTTGTTAGTGTTACACATCTTTCATAACTTGAATGGACTCAGGTACTAACATTCCAGGCCCTCAGTGTCAGCTTGATGAGGAAGAAGATGTAAGAAATAAAGGAGGCAGGTCCAAGAACCCTAAGGAAGGTAGATCACAAAACCAGTCATACAGTAAGTAGAATCCTTCATGCAAATAGCACTGATATCCAAGGCATCTCCATAGGAGAACAGAAGACTCCAGAGATAACGCCCTGCCTGCCATAGACCTGCGCCTCCTTCATTATTCTCTAGCCCAGAAGTTTCTAGCTCTAGCTATATATAAAAGTCACCTGGGAACTTCTATGTTTTATTTTTTAGGTTTATTTATTGTTATGAGAAAGAGAGAGAAAGAAATAGCACCCCCAATAGACTCTTGATAATAACAATTCATCCCCAGCCTCATCCAACCTAGCTGGCTCATGGATAAGCACATGCCTATCATACTCAGGAAGGTCTCCAGACTCAAACCCAGGAACTTCCCATGTGGACCAGCCTCATAGAGCATTGTGTTTTACCACAGTCCAGTCTCTAAGGAGAACTTCTAAAAAAAAAATTTTTTTTAATGTCCAAGCATCTCCCCCGAGAGAATTCAATTTAATGGGAACCTGGACATTGCATATTTAAATTTTTCTCTGAGAATTCTAATGCAAGGTAGTGCAGTGCGCTGAATAATGGCCCCCAGAGATACCAAGCACTCACCCCATGAGCCTATAAATGTTACCGTATGTGGCAAAAACAGATATTTGCATTTAGAATTGAGTTAAGGATCTTGAGACAGGGAGATTATACTGTATTATTTGGGCAGGCTCTAAACGCAATCATAGGGCCCTAACAAAAGATAGGCAGAGGGAGATTTGAAACACCTGGAGGGAAAGGTGATATGAAGATGGAGCAGAAAGAGATGTGAAGGTGTAGCCTTGAAGACTGAAGCAATGGAGCCCCGAACCAAGAAATGCCAATAGCTACTAGAGAAGGCTAGAAATAGATTCTTCCCTAGAACCTCTAGAAGGAGTGCTGCCCTGCCAAAGCCTTGACTTCAGTCCAGAGATTCTGATTCCAGACTTATGACTTCCAGATCTGGGAGAAAATAAGTTCTGTTGTTTTAAGCTGCAATATTGGTGGCAATTTGTTCCAGTAGCAGCGGAAAACTAGCGTAACCACAGCTGCTGTCTGCTGCTCTGCAGTCTCTGGCCTCTATTGAAGTCCTTAAAAATACCCAGTTCAGTGCTATGCCCCCCCCCCAGCTTTTTTCTCTGTTTTTCCTCCCCTGGAACATTCTTTCCCTTAGTCTTCACTTGTTTGAATCCAGGGGTATTCCCTGACCCCTGATTCAGCCTAAATTACATCTTGTTATTTCCTTCTAGAATTTTGTTCTCCATCTTCATAGCACACATCACAGTTCATAATTAGCTATTTATTGTCTGGCTAAGTATTTAATGTCTTTCTTTCCTGATTAGAATATAGACTTTTGAATGAAATTTATATAATTTGTTCACCATTGTATTTCATTTTGTTTTGTTTTGTTTTGTTTTTGAGAGTTTTGTTTGTTTGTTTGTTTTGCTATAGGGAGTGTGCGCTCACCAGACAGAGAGACAGAAAGTGAGGAATCACCCCCCAGGGGGGATGGCCATGCCACAATCCCTTCTCCTCCATTCTCCTCTTGGGATTTTGGGCACGCGCACACACACGCCCAGCGTGAGTTTTAAGCCACCAGGTCAGGGACGCGAACCGCAGTCGACTACATGGGAGTCCAGCGACATAGCCATTATGCTAACTGCTAACCCCCATTGTATTTCAACACCTATTCTGGTGTCAGATACATAATAAGTGATAGATTAAAACCATTATAAGAAATAATGAATGAATCTATGATTCTCATAGTACATAGGTCTGAACTCCAGATAAAAGGCAAGGATATTAGATCAGGGTCTGTCTCCTGAGAGAGGGAATAGCAAAGGCCAAGAAGGAAGTTGGCCCAGATAAAAAGGCCCCAGTTCTGATAGTGTTCAGATCCTATGGAAAACTGCAACAATGGCAGAAGCTGCTTGTGAGGGAGTATATAAGTGTACACTAGACTCTTGACTTGAGTAGCCAATTCCAGACTGCATTTGCTGTAAGTCATGATGATCTTGACACTGAACCAATTTTATGAGTATTGGCCTAGGAACCAACAGAGAAAAGAAATTAAATAGAACAACGTTAAGATCTGCAGTAGAGCATACTTAGAAATTGCAGGCACTGACAAACAAATCAAACAGAACATGTCTATGATTACACCTGTGTGAAAAATAGGGCATGGGTTGAAATCTATCAACTGCCAAGTGTTACATGTTCCCACTATCCATCTGTCTCTAAGTTAGGGACAACCTTACCCATCTATGTCTAAGTTAGGGGCAATCTATCTTATAAGATTTGTGTTTATATCTATTTTTAAGAATCACTTGAATAACTCTAGAAATACAAATACAATCCATTGCACTGTTCCTTTCTGACTGCCTGCTTCTATTATAGTAAGCAGAAGCCAAGGCAAAAGCAGCCCTGGATACACTGTTTTCAGCATCAGGAAGCAAGCTGATTCTCTCATCAGAACCCCCATGGCTGCTTACTCTCTTAGTGAAAAAACCAATGGCCAATAATAGTACATCTTTGAAAATCTTGGAATTTCAGGATTAGAACTAAAGCCCCCTTCCTCTACTTCAGTCAAAAAGCTGAAATAACCAGATAAGAAAATAAGAGGCTTGGTAAGACAGGAATACCTACCTACAGGAGGATATCAGTTAGGGTTTTTGGTTGCAAGAAACAAACGTACACTCACACCAAGAAAAAGATGGCCTTGTAACCTTTCCTTCTGTTTTGGTTTGGTTTTACTGTTCCAATTTGACCTCAAAAACATGTTGATTTTTGAATTTGTGAATGTAAGAATTTTAATCACTGTACTGTCAACATCAATAACTTTTCATTAAGAAAGAATTTCTCAGAGCAAACTATTGGTTCAGTGTATCTCTGGTTTTTAGCGGTTTCATTATGATGTGACTAAGTGCAGTTTTCTTCCTATTTATCCTGCTCGAAGTTTGTTGAGACTCTTGAATCTATTGACTGATGTCTTTTATAAGCTTTTGGGAAGTATTCAACATTTATCTCTTGAAATATTGTTGCTTCGCTACTTTCCCTCGCCTATCCTTTTGGGACTCCAATTGCACATAAGATCAAACATTGTACTATGTCCTGTATATCTCTTTTGCTCTGCTTGGTTCCTTCAATTTCCTTTTTCTTTTTGATTCAGTTTAGTTATTTTCTTTGAGCCTATCTTTGAGTATAGTAACCCTGTCTTCTGGAGTATCCAAGTCATGTTCATTTCAAATCTAGCTAATGATCCTTAATATCAAATATAGTAATTTAGGTCATATACTATCTCATTGACTCTTTTACGTGGATTTAAATGTTCAGTTGAATTCAATTTTTAACCTCTTCTGTATATATTTTCCTCCATTTTATATAATGTATTTATGATACTTAAAGTCTTTGAGCTAACACCAACATCTGAATCATCTATTGCTTTGCTTCTATTATTTACTTTCTCTCTTTACTTTTTGTTATGTTTTTCTGCTTTTGCACATATCTCATAATATTTTATTGTATAATGAACATTAGGTATAAAAGAATCTGAGAGACTGAAGTCTTTGTTATTTCCCTGAGAGGGTTTGTGCTTTCATCCAAAAGAAAAGATAGGAAAAGGGATGATTACCTTAATCCAATCAGATATTGAACAAGCTTGAAGCTGAATTTTATCTTTGGTTATCTACCTCTGTTTTTAAATACCTCAAAGACAGTTGTGTGTTTGTTATAGGCCTTTTAACTAGAGAATTTTCATTGGTGATAAGATATTTCGTTCTGTTTTACCAATCCAGCCTCCCAGTCTCTTAGTACCACTTCTGCAGGACTCAGTAAATATTCTTTGGGAAAACTGGCTGAGATACTTGAAGATTAACTTATCTAGGTACCAACTTGTCAGCTTCCTCTGCAGGTTTGTCTTTCCCAAGTAGAAACCTTATTGGTCCTAGTGTGACTGATCCTCATTCTGTGACCACACCCATAAATGTCCCTAAGAAAGAGAATAGCTAGTGATCTCAGCTTACCTAGGAAGGAGACTTGCCTCTGGAATTTTAATTTATCTAATACTTTTTGTTTTCTACCTCTCTAGTGTCTTTAAAACTATAAAAATTGTTTGGTCCATCCATTGTGACACAATAATAACACACCAGCACCCTGCAGTGCTGGAAGTCATAGGGCAACCACAGTTCCGATCCCAGATAAACCTGATAAAAAGACGGAGTGGTACACAAGAGTACCCAGGATCCGAGGAGCTGGAGGGCTAGAGAAAGGGGATCGTGATGATAACATGCCAAAGACGCTTTCTCTCTGCGTCTTTCTCCTCTCTCCATCTCTCATGTGCTTGTGCATATGCTTTCTATCATAAAAAGAAAAGAATTCAGTAAATATATATGCATATAATTTTGGTAATTTATCTCATTTTTTCTAGTTATGACAGCAGAAATCAATAGCCTTGCACAACCTACTACTCAGAAGCAAAAATTCTCATTATTCCAAGTTAATTCCACAAATTTTTTTTATGTAGAATAGTCACATTTTCCTCAGTATTTTTCCATTTTATTCTTATTTTACTGACATGCTTTTTATGTAAGTCAATTTTTTATATAAACTTACAGCCAAGATTTGATTTATTGATCAGTCAATGTTTTTTATTTTAATTTTGCCAGAGGGCATGTATGTTCACCAAAGAAAGAGAAAGAAAGTGAGAAAGCATTCCCCATGAGGAGTAGTCATGCCACAATCCCTTCTTGATTTCTCTCTCTTTTTGGGATTCTGGGCAGAAATATAAATGTGCCTGGTGCGTTTTTCAAGTCACCAGGTCTGGGACTGGAGCCATGTGAAATTCAGCTGCCTTAACTACCATACCACTGACTGGCCCAATCAGCATTTTTGACTTTATGAAATTCCATAATTTATAGCATCTTCCATTGTGTGTTCGTTCTTACCTACAAGTATAGTTTTCATCTGTGGCCGTGTTTAATTTTACCCATTCAAATGTTCCATATCTGAACTTAGTTAAGAAATGCATTCTTCAGTCAAGTTTTAGATTCTAATATATTTTAACAAGTATACTTTTAGATACTGTATTTTTTAATTTTGTATCTATTATTTTTATCAGAAATATCCACTATAAATGCAATAAAAGATTGATGATCTGAACTGAAGTCTCATGTAACCTCTAAGAAATTTGTGTGCAATTCTCAGATATTCCAGAATTTGTCAGTATCTGTTACTTTACTCAGCATGAAATGTCAATTGCTCTATTGCATTTCTAACAAATTTCTTCCCTAAATCTCTAGTCTGTAATCTGTATAGTGACCACTGTTGTCAGTACAAAGAACAAAATGATAAAACCGAAGTGATAGATTTGTAAGCTCCAGATCAACACACCATGTACCACAACTGGACATAGACCCTGCTACCTGAACCAGTGCTAAGGGCTGGCTGTTGACTACATAGCCTTGCCTTTCCCGTGCTTCTATTCTTGCCTCCTCTCTCCACTGTAAGATTTTTCTGGTTAGTCATGGTTGTTCTACTCACAACCCCAAATTGTTCTGAGTCGATTATAGCTGCCCTGGCTCCTCTCTCTGTACCATGACCTTCCAGCTTCAGTTTCTGCCATTAATCCTCTCATCTTTGTTGGTATTATGTCTGAGTTCAAATTCCTGAGAGAAGGAATAGGACTAACCCAATGGAGCTAGAATTTCGGAATAAGGGCCCTACCTCAGAGAATGTTATTGAGAAATCTCCTACTTGGCATTTCTCAAAGTGTGACCTGCAGATCACCTTCAGAGGTAAGGATTCATGGTCCAGGGTCTTTCTCTTAACTATCCTTTCCCCCAGCCATAACAAAATGCAGGCTAGAGGCTGCTAGGGCTCCCAGCTCTTCCCTACCCCTACCCTTTACCACGGGAAAGCATCCTGGTGTCACTGAAAAAGCTCTCTCATCAGAGCAGTCTATGTTCAAATCCCTATTTCATTGCTTATAAATGGATCCTGAGTGAGTTCCTAAGTTCTCAGTGTCTTAGTTTCCTTATTTATAAAATGGGAAAATTATATCTGCCTTGCACAAAGAAGTATGTAAAGATCCTGGCACAGAAAATGTATTCAACAACTCAATAAATACTAGTTCCTTTTCTTCTGAGGGCAAGTGCCTGGTGTCACCTTCATACACTGAGAGGATAGTAGAATAATAGTGTGTGCCAGAACCAAGCAAAACACAGGAGATGAACCCAGGAAATAAATGAATAGATTTGCCAGAAAGAGACGTTGTTATTTTTACTCCCTGCCAAGCCTGATTTTCCCAGAGATACTGCACTTCTTTGGATAACTCGGCAACCACTTAATCCAGATATAGTCTCTCATGCAGGCAACATATTTACAGTCAAAATGCTCACTTCCACTTCAAGTTTCCAATCCCCTGCTGCTACTTTCTGCAAACTTAATTAATTAGTTGCAGCTAACATTTGTTCAACCTCATGCAGCAATGGGAGACTGAAGGGAACAAGCTCTCATAAATTAAAAACATTTCAAAATATTGTCTTCTCCCAAGAAAACATTTTTTTTTAAATTAGCACTCCATTTGGACAACTTTAAGGTTTCAAAAGAAAACAAACAAGGACATTCCAATTAATGTTATTGTCTTTAACTATTTCATTGCCAATGGTCCATGTTACCATTCTTGTGAACCTAAGCACTGTTATCCCTATAATAAGGGAGACCCGTCTCCTTTGTATGCTTAGGTGACTATGTTACATATGGTCCTGGCGTGAAAATGCCTGCCAGGCACTCCATCAATCAAAAGATTAAGATGTAACTAAGGCCAGCCTGTGGCATGGTGGTTAAGGCAGCTGGAAGCCACATGGCTAACTCATGATAAGAGCCATGGATCCAGCAGTTTGAGAAACACTGTGTTCATATGTGTGCCCAAAATCCAGAAAGAAGGAGAAATGGAGAAAAGGGATTGCACCATGACCACTTCCTGGAGAGGGCTTTCCCACTTCTCCCCCCAAACCCAGACAGCACAGATGCCCCCCAGGAAATTCTTTTTTTAAAGAGAGAGAGAGATGTACCTAAACCCTAAGTGATAATGTTGTCTTAGACACTTAGAAGGTCAAGTGTTGTACTGAAGGCAAGGATGTAGCTAGAGAATACAGTAAAATTTTCCTTGTCTTTCCAAGACATAATTGTGTTGGTGAAGACTAAGGCATTGGAAGGGTGGCTAGGATATGCCCCCAAGCACAAGGCACCCTATCCCAACAAATTCATCCAAGAGATTCAGATTGGGGCATTCTAATCTGTTGAGCTGGTTACCAGCTACCAATTGGGTATGTATTTTACATGGGAAAGTTCCTAGGATATGAAGAGTATGAGAGGGTACCCTTGTGCTGCCCGCCCTGCCACTGCTTGCCATGCCTTTTACGCGGTGTTCCCTTATCTAAAGGGGATCAATAATATCCGTTCTGTCTAAGCATGACTGATGAGGCACACTGCAGTTCTCCACAAAGGTAAACTGCTTCTGCTGCTGTCATTATGAATAATGTAACAAAATATAATAAAAGGAGCTCTGAGGCCCAGCCATAGTAGTATAGATGGAACAGTACTACTGCACAATACTGAAGCCAGATGGGAAGACTCCAGGTTAGGGTCCCAGGTTGAGTCGAATGAGTGCTGGGAATACCTGCTTGTGATCCTATCTTGCTGGAAGGCTGAAGGGGTTGGGGGGAGAAGGAGGATATTGTGGCATGGTGAGACCCTGTCAAGAGTACCTCTCTCTCTCTCTTTCTCTCTGGAAATAAATAAACTATAAGAAAAAGAGGAGCCAGGTGGTGGCAGAATGATAGCACAATTGGACTCACATGAGAAAATCCGGGGTCGTGTCCTGGGTTCTCCCTGGGTTGACCAAGGCTCAGGGTGGATTGCAGCATGAAGAGCCTGTTGAGGGTGCTTGTCTCTGTTTCTCTATGTCTCTCTTTCTTTTCTATGGAAGACATAAATAAATAAACTTTAAAAGAAAGAGCTTTGAGACTGGATTTTTGAGGCCTGAGTCCTAATCACAACCCTGCCAGTAGATTGATTCAAGTCACTTTCTTGGAAGTATATAAGAGGGTAGAATCACAATAAAAGAGTGAAAAACTTAATATTGGGGGATGCTTGCACAGGCTCTGTGAGACTGTTAGAATAACTATGATTGCATGGAGTTATCACACATACTCCAGCATTTTTTTTAAATTTTATTCTGACATTCTTTCATCTTTTCCTGTATGTTGATAATTCTAAGATTCAAAAATATGTCTAAACACAGTTCGAGGATCCCTGAGTAAATCATGGAGGTGGAAGGAAATAATAAGGAAAAGTTAAAAATGTGGAAAGTAAACCCTGAATCACTTATTCAGTAGATTTAACTTGTAAGGAATATGAAGGTATGAATGTTTTCAGAGATCCCTGTCAACAGTGATGCTGACTGTAGACACTAGAAAACTAATCAAAGCAAACAATAACAATGAAAAAAATCTTGGTTTAATTTTGTACAAATAATAGCAGTAGTTATTTATGTAAAAATATTTCCACTTGTGCCTAACTCTAATAGCATGGTAATTAGCATATTTAATATATCATATTGTTTCACTGTAATTATTGTTAGACTTTATTCAGTTTTAACAATGTCTTACTCATGTTGCTCAAATAGAAAAGGAGAGTTATGGCAGAAACTTCTTATTCTCTCCTTCCTCTCTATAATACATACTTATTCTCCTTTAAGTAGAGTAAGAAAAAGAGCATAACCTTTTTCTACTCTATGTATTATATACAAAATATATGCATATACATAGATACTGTGATGTATACATAGATATATATGTACATGTGTGTGCATACATGCATGTGTGTATAAATATAGAGACAGACAGAGACACAGTATATATACAATCAGTTGCCTTCCATTTGCCAACAGCTCTTCTCTTTAGTGAAATAACCCAGATTTTGTTGGGGTTGGCAACATGTCCAACTAAACAATATTTGTCTTATTACTTGCAAATAAGAATGCTCTATATCGAACTACTGGCCCATGAAATGCAAGAAGAGGTTTTGGGGATGGAGCTTCCAGAGAATCATGACTGATGCAGTTGGCAAGCCTAGTCTATTCTTTGCCTTCCCGATTCTCTCTGTCTGGCACACAGATGCTATACTTGAAGATCAGCTGGCTTGTGATTCCAAAGTCACAAATCCACCCAAAGGAGAATTAATTAGAAAGGTAGAGAGAGGTTGGGTCTCTGTCATATAAAAATTTGCTCTATCAGCTTTGGATTATCTACCTTCATACTTCTCACAACATTAAAAAGAAAAAAAAAATTTTTTTTGGACCAGCAGATGGCATAATAGTTATGTCACTGGACTGCCATATAGTCAACCATGGTTTGAGTCCCAGACCCGGCAGCTTAAAACTCACGCAGGGTACATGCGTGTGCATGCCCAAAATCCCAAGAGGAGAATGGAAAAGGGATTGAGACATGGTCATCCCCCCGGAGGGTGATTTCTCACTTTCTGTCTCTCTGAAAAGTGCACATACCCTATAGCAAAAATCTCCCTCTCTAATTGGGGGGGTGGGGGGGAACCACTACTTTTTTAAACCAGTATTTTGGAATCTCTCCCCTTACAGTCAAGTATAATTCTTTACTGGTGCAAGTGGAACATTGATTCTTCCCATCAAGGCAGCTATAGTCCAATTGACAAAGCCAGGTAGGTATTTATGTTTGACCTGATTAAGCAACATTGTCTCTTTTTGTTGTTGTTTTGTTCTTTTTTTTTTTTTTTCCATAAACTGCATGCACTCACCCGAGAGCGATAAAGTGAGAAACCACCCTCCTGGGGAAATGGCCACACTGCAATACTTTCTCCTCTAAACTCCTCTAGGATTTGGGGCATGCACACACATGCACCTGGAGTGATTTTCAAGCCACCAGGTCTAGGACTTGAACTGTAGTGGACCATGTGGGAGTCCAGCTCCTTAACCACTACACCACCTGCTGGGCCCAAACCACCTCGTCTTGTGTATGACCAAGTACTTAGAAAATCAGTGCTACCTGCGAATCCTGTAAACACTACTAGAGTTCAAAAAAAGAGAAATAAAAAGAGTAGACGGCATTTTGTAAAACATGTACATGATGAGAGGCAGACCTGAGCTGGTTGGAAAGCATGAGAGATGTTAATAGCTAGAGATCTGAGGAGAGGCTTTCAGGCAAGGAAAATATAAGAATTCAGTCATAAATGGGGAGAGAGGGAGTTTGCTGACTGGCTTCATCAGGAGAAGGAGTACAGACCATGGGGTATATAAAGGTAAGTTTGAGTTAGTATGAACCAGGTGTTAGCAGCCTGGAAAATCAAGCTATAGAATTTGGATTTACAGGCAGTTAATCATAACTTCTTTGTGTTTTTTCCCTTCTTCGTGTCTTCTGCCTTTATTACTCTCTACTTCCATGTTTCCAACTTCCTGTAAGATAATTCCACCAGATATCCCTGTTGATCCCAGATTTAATCTGTCCAAAAATAGAACTAATCATTTTCCTTCATCAAGAGATCAATAGCATTTCCCACCATCCAGAAATGTTGGAGGTATCTTTGACTTATTTTTCCTCCCCCAAAGACCATCTCCAGTGCCACAGAGTCCTATCCTTCCCTCCTTCAAAATGTCCCTTGAATTCATTTCTGTTTCCATCACCACCACTGATGGCTGGCATTTAACTTTGTCTCTCACAAGAGCACCCTAATAAATCTCTTCTCAACAGCCTCTCCCTGTTAGAAAAATCACTGCCAGAAAAATCTTCTTAATTGCTATTCAAGTCACATTGCACCACACCCACATTTAAGAACCTAAATTCCTTATAAGAGCTAATAAGACCTTTCATATTATTGAGACTGACCATCCACCTTATTTCCCATCATACAGGAATCCAAAACCAGTATTGTAATCATCTGGACCTCCCCAAAGACCCTAATGTGCTCTACACTCATGCCCAGCAACCACCCACTTAGAATATCCACTACCTCCTTTCATTATTGTCTGAATATTCATTCTTAAGATTCAACTAACGGGGCCAGCAGGTGGCATGGTTGTTAAGGTGCTGGATTCCCCCATGGCTGACAGCAGTTCGAGTCTGGGACTTGGTGGCTAGTTTTCCCACCTTCTCTCTCTCTCTCTCTCTCTCTCCCCCTCTCTCTCTCTCTCTCTCTTTCTCTCTGATGAGTGAATGTGTCCTATAGCAAATTAAAAAATAATAATAATCATTAATAATATTAAAATAAATCATTCTAAGAAATACAAAACAATTCAGCTAACTAAATTACTCCTCAAAGTTTATTTCAATCAATACTTCTCTCTCTTTTCTCAAGTCCTATACCATTTATAGTTTATAGGATATAATATATTATTTCTAATTATCTATGAGTTTTAAGCCTGCCACCCAGGTAGATTATAAAAGAGTATAAAGGCTCTGAAAACTTGAACCATTTTGTCATCAACTCTTGGGGTAGAGGGACCCCTATGCCATGCATACTTGCCAGAGCAAATTCAATTATGTACATTTTGACAGAGCATATGTTTAACAACTGTCTATTCAATTAATAATACATTAAATTGTTCTGATACTGTGAATAAAAATTCACTAAATACTTGTTGATCACTTGATAGAAAGAATTAACTGATGGGAGAATAATCATTCTTGCTTTGATATCCATGAAAGTTGACTCTACCATGAGAGTTTGAGACACACTTAAGCTAATATAGCTTACATTAATTATAGAAACTAATAGAAGTCTCATTGTTAAGTAGAATTTATTATGGTTTAATGACCACTGATTATAGTTTGGTTAATTTCCATTCACAGACAGATTTACCTTGAATTGCTGGACAATTAACTATACTATTGTTCAAAAGACAGTAATTATTTCTAGCTGAAAATTGAGAGGTATGGAACTGAACCAGCTGTGCCCATCCAAAATCCCTAATGAGTCCTGAAAACGCATGTTATCCCTTTTTCTTTATCAGATCCACCCAGCATTATTGCAGTTTTCTCTACTGATTCAAAGGTTCATTGGCAGACACAAAGAGAGTCCCTCGAGGTGAAATGGATCAAGAAAAAGTTTATCATTTAAAAAAAATTCATAATCTTCTTATGAATAATTGATACCTTTGCTAACTTTCACACAAAAAAAATAAAAAACAAGAAAACTAAACATTCAATCAACAAATATATACCCTCAAATATATGTTATGACTAAATCAACTACCTTGCTTTGTTTTATACAGGTCATATGATACATCAGAAAAACTCTAGATAATGTGTTTTGAAAATTTTCCTTTTATCTTGACATCACTAAATGATTGGGAGTATTCACCGTTAAGTTCTTTAATGACAATATCCTTTTCTCTTACAAATGGCTTTGAAGTCTTCTACCACCTAGTACAAGTATTTGGATATTTCCCCAGCAAGAGTGGGCAGGAAGCCAATACAAGCCACCAGGTGCCAATATTACACCTGACAAATTAGCCACACGACTGAAAAGGGTGGGCCCATCCTCTCGTTACAGTTTCATTTCCTCTCATTTTCCCATGAACAGGAAGTCATTGGAATGGGGGAAAAAGTTTTTCTTAAAGTCCCATATGACCAAAGGCCTGAACTTGTTACCACCACCCTAACAAACAACTTGGAAGCAAGTTCAAACTAATCACAAGACTTTATTTACATTGACTTATTTAACCCCACTGATGGCCTGGATTCAAGGATAGGGTGATTTGTTTGACACTCTGGGTGCTCAAGGGGCAGGTGGTGAATGCCTCTGGATGTCATATGGAATAATTACAGCTGACACAGGAGGCCGATCTGCTCTGCTACAGCCCTTGCACAAACCTCATGAACCTAGACTGAAGGGATCCTGATGAGAACCAGCTGAAGCCACGGTTAAGGCCAGAACTTTATTTACTGC